GCCCAGCCATTTTTTGGTTGCAGCCATCATTGTTGTTTGGCGGGTCCGGGCTGGGGATTCGAACCCGCCACCTTAGGTGTACGTGGCTGGCGCCTCAGCCGGTTGAGCTATAGGCGCCGAGCCAGAACATAAATATCTTAACACAATAATTAAGTAAATGAAGTGAAAGCTATATTAATTAGTTTGATGTAACCATTCCAAATTGTATAAAAGACAACACATCGTACCCCACAAAAGCATAAATGTATTCATGATCTGTGTGTATATGACTTAATAAAAGGAAAAAAAATGTATTGCATCCATTGTTTCAAATGCAATAATGTCCATGAAATGGCTTTATGAAGTATAAAGGGCCACAGAAAGTCAATGTTCACTCAACACCTACTCCTCATGGTACTTTCCACTCTTCCTCACATAATTTGTTTAGCTTGTCTAGACTTAAGCTTCCAAAGAGTAGGGATGCTGTCTTATTTATTATCATTCATACCCTCAGCACCGAGCAGCTGTTTAATATGTTAGAAACTTTAGCAATTTTTTATCTCATTGAATTATCACAGCAACTCGGAGTAGACATGCCTTTCACCAAAACACATGTCTGGACATCATTTCAGTGTGTGGCTAATTGTGTGAGTGCTGGAACAAAACCATCCCTACTCTCTTATTTTACAGGTGAGGAAACTGAGGCATGCTGTAATTGTGACTGTCGTAGAGATGTAGCATACTGCTATCTGGTAGATCCAAAATTCAAATCTAGATGTTCTGGAGCCAGAGTCTAAGGCATACGCACAGGAAATTATCATTTCGTTATTGGGGGGAAGAACTCGTCAAGACCCTGACAAGACTACCGCTGTCTTGGGAGACAGCTATTGAGGGAAAGCAGATCAGAGACCAAAAGGCATGGTCCCAGCAACCCCCTCCCCACATTCCTGGAATGCTTCACAGCCTGTATTCTTGGGAAACATCAGACTCTCCCAGGGGGGTCCTGGTTGGAATCCTAGAGATAAGGCCCTGGTGTGAGATTAACACCTTTGCAGACCCTGACACAGCATCATTCACTCTGTAGAAAAGAGAGGACTTCCCTGGCCTCTCACAGTCCCATCCAAATCCCAAATGCACCAAGACAAGTCTCTGGAAACTGTGAGAAAGCAAGCTGACTCCTGGTCAGACTCGCTCTGCTTTTTCTAATAAACCCTTTGTTTAATCCCTGGACTGACCAGTTTACCAGGGTGCGACCCTCACCCCGACCCTAACCCTAAACCTCTCATCTTTACGGTGCATTGGCTGGGAAAGGAGGCAGTGAGACCAGTGCAGAGACCACCCCAGACCCTTGCCGCGGCCCTCCTAAAGACCGCCACCTCGTACTAATTCATTAGGACTGGGTAAGTTGGAGGAAGGGGCTTCTCCTCCTCCTCTGGGGTCTCCTGTTTGTCCTCTGTTCATTCATTCCTCCAAAAATCCTAATCCTAGAGCTAGGTTGAGATTTCCCCCAGGATGTGGGATCATTGTCCCTATTCTCCCTCTCTCCATGCCCCCCTGCACCTTCCTTCTGGGATGCTGAGGGACAGGGTCAGGACTCCATCCATCCCTCCAGCTGCCCCAGTGACTGGGAAAGCCTGCCTCCCTGCTGCTGGGCCTCTTCTCCTTACTGTACACACCTACACACCGTGGGCAGTTACTGGTCAGTTCCCTCCCTCCTGCCGCTGGGGTCTCTCCGTAAA